CAGGGCTTGGAGGTGCTTTTTGGGCAGACAGTTATTAGGCTGTCTCTCACTCAGCCTAACGCTCTCAGGCTCTCGATCCACTGGGTCAGTTCAAGGCCATGGACCTGGGTACACCTTCCACAGCATAGAGGACAAGGACAGATGCCCTATCTGGAAGTGTATGCTCAATTCTGTCAATTCTCTCAGTGCTAGGGAATTGGGAAAACTGCAGTTGCTTTTTGGTTCCCTGAGGCTTACTTACTCCCTTCCCTCTACAACCCTGAGAGGTTAGAGGTTCATGGAGGTTACAGGGAAAAGTTAGAACAGCTAAAAACATCTTGGCAGATTCTAGAAGTTTTGTGATCAATCATTAATGAGTTTTGAAACAACCCTGGTCACTCCCTTCTCCCACTCCTTTCCCTTGAGTCATGAGGGTATCTGTTAACTCTTCTCATAGGTGAAGAGAAGAGAATTTCACCCTTCCCCCCTCACCTTTGATTTCACCCTCCCCCACCTGGGGAAAGGAAGGAGTAGGGAGGGGCAGCGGCTACAGCATGGGACCAAGGCAATGGCCTTGGGTTCTAGGGCAACCTTTGCCTGGAAGCATCACCCACGTTCAGTGCGTCCTGCTCAAGGTAAAGAAGCTAGCCTCTGAACTTGGGTGAGCATGCTCTTTTAAAGTTATAGTTTTAACTGTTAACGATGAGACCATTGATTCTCTGTGTAATTTGGAAATGCATTTAGCAAAACTGAGGTCACCTGATTGGTAATGGGTTTGTTTCAAGTTTCAAATTGGTGAACTTTTTGTATCAGTTATGTCAAGCAACTTTTCATAATTTGGTTACCACTAAGATAATTTGGCTATTGTTGGTTATTGTTTTAATACATAAACTTGCCAAAAAGCTTGTTTGGGTTTTATCTTGCTGAGAATTTGTAAGCATATAGAAATAATCTCTAATTGGCTTTTTACACCAGAACAAATTTAAATTTGAGATGTAAATTTAAATTAAAATTTGAGATGTAATTCCTGGAAAAGTTTTTCCTAAGCTGTGATTAGTGAAACTTGCTGTTTGAGGTAAAAAAGCTCATGATTTTATTTTGAATTGTCTAATGGATCATAATAATCCATCAATAAATCCATCCATCAGAAAAATGCCACAAGCTACTCAGAGAAGGTGATACTGGTGGGAAGTCGGCATTGGAAAAAGCTGAGAGGACAATTTTAGCCTCAGTCTAAGATGGGATCCTCCTGGCTCAGTTTCCCCATTATGTTCCTTTGAAAAGGAATGTTACACACCTGGCTATTCCTGAGTCTGGCTAGGAGGTAGATTTGATACAGCATGGTTGGAAAACTGAATTATCTGAATCCAAACAGATCTAAAGATGTTTTATCCTGTCATTTGTGCCCTGCAGTCTTTTCTGTCAGATTTGTGTCTTCCAGACTACAGGTCATTCACCTACAATTGATAGCAAACAGCGGGTAGCAGCCAATGTCCCCCCATTGTTCCCTGGGTGCAGCCTAAGCTTGGTTCCAGCTAACCTTCACTTTGGGACCCCCTTGAGGCAGGGACAGCTCTTCACCCGTTGCCAGCAGGAAGCAGTTTCAGAAGCCGAGACCTTTGCCCCTTACTTCAAAAGAATTTGAGTCCCATTTCTTTGAGGGGGGAAATGATGAAGATGGGATCTAGATCCCAGAAATGAAAAACCCTGGGCTTTCCCACATGGCCAGATCTCTGGTGTTCACCTGAGGCCATAATCTCATCAACTGGCCTTTCACTGTGGCTACACCCAATCTCCCAGTTCTCTGTTACCCTTAACCTAGTTTAGCCCTCCATTGTCTTACCTCTCTGTGGCCCCCAGCCACTTCCTACCCTTAATCCTAGCTAGGCTACACTCTCCCTTGGCCATGTGGTCCAGGTCCCTTGCACTCTTTTACCTCAGAGTCACCTCAGACTACCTGACCATTCCTAGCTTTCTGTATGTAAGGTCCATCTTGTCTCCATTAAGATGCTCAGATTCTTAAAATCTAGCCACTGCTTAGATTCTTACAATCTAACCAATCTAGCTAATGTTCAGACTTCTTAAGGGTCTGCCCAATATGACCCCTATTCTAATAAACCTTGTGTTTGGCTGGAAAAAAAAATTGTCTCTCTCTCTCTCTTCAAGCAATCCTTCAACAGTAGACAAGGTGATGTTCCTAAAGCACAGATTCAACATGGCACTTTCCAATTCGATAAACTAGTGGCTATTATCTCTAGAGTCAAATACATATTCTTCTTTTTGGCACCTAAAGCTCTTCACAATCTGGTTCCAAGATACCTTTCAGTCTCTAGTACCCTCCCCACATATGGCTCATTTTGACCCAACTGGACACCTTGCTGCTTCTTACTCACTACAATCCAGCTTCCATCTTTGGAAAGGTTGCCCCTAATGCCTTGAATGTACTCCTTCCTCAAGTTCATTTCTTAGAAGCCCATCTCCTTCAAAGCTTGGTTTCAGTATCACTCTCTACATGAGGCCTTTCCTGATCCCTCTAAGCTTCTTTGTGCTTTTTCTACCCCCATATGACCTTGTATTGATTTTGCATATACTTTAAATACATACCTGTTGTCTCCCCCCAAAAAATGTAAGCTCCCAAAGGCATAGAATTTTATTTTTTTCTTTGTATCCCCCGGGATTAGCATAGTGCTTGACACACAGCAGGTACTTAATGGTTATTGATTGATATGCTATTATTATATTTGCTACCTGCATTAATATTAGATGTGTGCAAGTCTAATGTATTATGTAGTTGGGATGATCATCTATGACTATTACATATCAAGTTATGTTGCTTGTGATGCACACAGATGTTCAATCATATCCCATGCAACCTGGCTGGGGTTACAAATTCTTCTCTGGGGAGGATATACACCTCTTCCCGGTCCCTCCAGGATGAGGAGGCTGGGCAAGGGGGTGGGGAAGGGCAGGGCAGAACAAGGAGGGAGAACCTTTAGCCTGGGGTGTGATGTCAGACTGAGCAAGAACATATACACTTTGGTGAAATAGAGGAGATAGGAAATGATGGTGGTAGCCTGACTTACAGCCCTGACGATTTCTTAACTGTTGTCATCATTCAGTCGTGTCCAACTCTTCGTGACCCTATTTGGGGTTTTCCTGGCAAAGACTGCAGTGGTTTTCCCTTTCCTTCTCCAGCTCATTTTACAGATAAGGAAACTGAGGCAAACAGGATTAAGTGGCTTGCCCAGAGTCACACAGCTATTAAGTCTCTGTGGCCAGATTTGAACTAGGTCCTCCTGACTCCAAGGCCAGTGCTCTATCCACTGTGCCACCTAAAATATGACTTTTAATATTAATGCCAATGTATTCTTTGTGGGCTAGAGCCAAGTGAGAACTGGGAGGCGTGGTCAACACTGATTGCCCTGCAGCAGTGATGACAGTGAACAAAGCAGGGACCAAAATGGAGGCTGATGAGGAAGGATAGCATCCTTGTGGGATCTAGTCAACTACCCTCAGTGACCTAGTCTGCTATGGCTGATTAATACCGCTCCCTCCTTGTAGTGGGAGGGGAAAGCTTGAATTCAAGTACTTGAATTGTTTTGTTTTTAGTGAGTTTTGACTTGTCTACAACAAAGTGGGGAGGTTTGAATCTGAGCTCCTAGAGTTTTGCCTGCCTTGTCTAGAAAGGACTTGTGATTTGAAAGACTGCCTATCCTAGTGCCTTTGATTTGTTCCCCCTTCCTAATGTTATATTTTCAAGAACTGTGTATATCTTTGTTATGGTTTTATGAGTAAATTCCATTGAAACAGCAGGTACTGGAGGAGTGGCATTTCTGCCCCCTAGTGGGTGGGGGCATCAAGCCAAGATTCTGAGTGGATAAATCCGCACTAAAACCTTAAGGATAGGCACAGCCACCACCAAAGGGAAGAGGCTAGGGAAGAGAGGGAGCTAGCTCTCTGAGAGCCCAAGCCCCATCTAGTGTTCGATGCAGTGCAAATCCCATGAAGATGAGCACTGGGTTTGCAGCTAGGTGCTCATTATTATTATACAGGACCTGGTCAATAGCCCTCCTTGGTAATTACAATTCTATGGTAGCCAGATATTGTGCCCTAACTGTAGTACTCCATGTGGTTCTTCCAGTTAAGGCCTATCATGTCAACCTGAGTTGTTTGCTTATTTTGTATGATACAACACATGGTATGTATGATATAAAACCCCTTTAAATATTTTCCCCACATTCCTTGAAATTCTTCACCATGATTTTTAAAAATCCCACCATGAGAGGTTCTTTCTTTTAGGTTAACCCAGATTCTTCCAAAATTTACAAATGTATTTTACCCCAGGAGGGTAATTCCAGAACTCCGGGTATTGTTAGGGAGGGCAAATGTAGGGCACTGAAGGATAACATTCCGGGCAACCAACAGGCAGTACTGAGGACCTGGTTGGTAAGAATAAAGAAAGGGGTACAGAAAGGAAGGTATGTGGGATTTAGGGACAAATTTTGTCTGTTTCAAACTTTTGACTAGAATCAGTCCTTCTTCTAGTCACTTATGTAACCAATCTTTATCACAGGAACACAGGTTTCTATGAGTTATATAAAAAAGAATGGGGGGGGCAGTAAGGTGGCGCTGTGGATAGTGGACTGGCCCTGAAATCAGGAGGACCTAAGTTCAAATCTGGCCTCAGACCAAACACTTGACACTTACTAGCTGTGTGACCCTGGGCAAGTCACTTAACCCCAACTTCCTTAAAAAAAAAAAAGGTACAGGATTATCAGCCAAGGAATCAGCTTTTAAAAGCACAGACTAAGAATGAGAAAAGGTTCAGGTCAAGGACTTCCAAATGGCTAAAAAGCCAAGGTTGACTCGGAGTGGGGGGGAGACAAATCAGTGGCGGACATCTTCTTTTTCTCTCCTGCATTCATTACTTTCCCAAAATGTCATTGCATATTAAGCATCCCAAGTTCAATAAGAGAGTTCCATGCACATTTTTCCTTTGAAAAAACACAACTGAGACAAAGTGAGAAGTAGCTACAGTTTAATACAAACCTGCACCAGAACACAATGTGTTGGGGTGTTGTGTGTGTTGTTGTTGTTTGTTTGTTGTTTTGTCTGAAACAGGTGGCTAAAGCATAGGAAAAGTGTGTCATTTCGGGACTGACACATTCTTAGCACCATAACATTTACGGAGGCATAAGGAAAGTCATTTGGGTGCCTGGGCTGCGGGGTGGTTCCATGCTGACCCCAGACCATGCCTGCCGCCTCTGTTGCTGCTGGAGGAAGGTTTTGGTTTCAGTTTGGTTCTGTTGGTTTCTGGGTCAGAGTCCAAAAAGTCCTCATTACGGTACAGACTTGACAGAGACCTACTGTGGACTCCTAGTACTACACACACACACACACACACACACACACACAGTAGTAGCACAATGTTCCCATAACACAACCCCACAAACCTAGAGAGCAGCTAAGGCAAGAAAAACAGCATTTATTCCAGCAAGTACAAGACCAGTTTGAGAGCTGCATTCAATGCAACCAGAGACCCTTTTTCATTCCAACTATGAGAGACAAGCATGTCTTCCAAGTGGCTCTGGGTTCTGTAAAGGGGCAAGGAGAAGTGGGATTGAGGGGAAGAGGAGAGGCTGGCTATTTCTTATGACATTTTGGACCACCTCCTGATTTTCCAGCTAGAACCATTTTGGTGTGGATGGGTCATAGATAGAGGTCAGGAGGGTGGGAGTGGGGTAGGGGAAATGATGACCCCTCAGACCTGCAATTTTGGTGAGAGAAGGAATGTGGTTCCACTACTCCCCTTTCTCCCTCCTCCCTGTACTGGGCATTTAATTCTAAAATTCCAGTATTGGGACCTGTATGGAAAAGCTCTCCCAGCAAAAATCTGTGGTAGTTCTGGCCTGCCCTGCTGGCCAGCTCTTTGGCAGCTGCCCAAGTCCCACTGCATAGAAAGTGGAGAGAAAGGTAATAGTTGTCTTATTCAGGACCACAGAGAGGCTAGAGATTAAAGCAGCCATAGTAGGCATCTATAGCCTTATGGGACTGAGTTGGAATCCACTCCCCACCCCAGCTGCAGTCATTATGTGCTATCTCCTGACCAACCTATTGCCTACTTGGCTACCACATCTATAACCTCCTGTAATCTGCTTTGGCCTCACCAACTGTTTGCCTTTTATCTTCTGGCCAGCCACGACTTGCCCTCTCCAGTGTGCTAATGAGAGACTGAAATTGGGTTATGAGGAGAGGCTGGGTGTAAAAATGCCATGGCAGGCTAGAGTTCAAAATACAGAGCAAGCTTCTAATATTCCACTGGTCCTATCTCAGACACAAAGGACTTAGTTTTAAGGATTTTTGCATTAGACTGAATGGCCATAAGGGGAAAAACAAACACATGTATGCCCTTGTTGATGATTCACTTGAGAGGCAAATTCTACAAGTGATTTTGCAATTGTTTGGTGAGGATTGGCAACCAGAAGTTGCCTCATGCCTCCTCTCCACAGCAAGGGTGCAAGATCAAAGCTGCTGGAGGGAATTCTGGCAACTTCTGGCATTAGACTTACAAGGGGGTATTGCTGAACTCTTATAAGAGCTTGGGAGCCACAGGGGCGGGGATTGGCTTCTTGTGATCTCTAGGAGATGGAAGACTGCTCTAAATAAGAGCAGGGATAAAACTAAGAAACTGGAACAGAGCCCAGGAAAAGGAGGGTATGTCCTGGCCTGAGTGCCTCCTCCTATTATCCTCTCTTCTGTCAAGAGAGAATGTCACTCAGTAATAGATGAAGAGACCCCACCCTTTGTAGCTGAGGTCTCCGAAGAGACTGAGTATTTCTATTGAAAAGCCCAGTGGTCTTCAATTTTGGAAGGCAGACCGTCCCTAAGATTTGATTTCCTTTCAAGTAAAGAATCCCCTCAATGCTGGGGAAGGGCTTGACTGAGACATAAGGAATCTCAGGAAGAGGATGGCAGCAGGTAGGGGCGGGGGTGAGGCAGGCTGGAGGCATGGCCACAGACATCCTACATATAGTCTTACAGGACCCTGTAGCTGCAGCCTTCCTGCCTAAACTCTCCCTGTCTTTTTATAGAGACCCTTCTCCCCTCCTACTTCTCCTTTTCCCCCTCTCTTGGAAAGCAGGAGGTTTCTCAGCAGTCACAAAGGAGGACAGCCCAGGCCTCTGCCTGAAAGCTCTGGTCAGCTCAAGGAGCTCAGCAAAGAGAGGGTAAAGACCATACAAATCTGAATGTTTTAAATAACTGATGCCCAGGCCATTCTTATAGGATCAGGTTCTTGATTTTGGTCCACGTGAGGATCTGGGAGCTGTGTCCTTATCTGTCAGGCTTGGGGGAGGGTGACTATCTAGGACTATTTCTGCCCTTTAACCATCTGGAGGACCCAATGTGGGGGACAGGAGGATGGGGGCTTGTTCTACACCTGCCCTGCCTCTTGGGTTGGTGTTGACTGCAGCATCTCTTGAGGATCATGTCTATCCTCATTTCTATCCTAACGCTAAGTGACACAAAGCACTGTTTTTTTTTTCACATGATGCACTAACAAATCAAACCAAACCACTGCTCAAACCAAACGTGCAAAACAAAATCATTTACACGCGCATGGCACGAGGCCTCGCACCAGCTCCCCGCTCTTTCTTCTTGGCTGCTTGTTCTTTGTAAGTGTGGGAGGATGACTGGAAGGAAGAGAGAAGGGAAGAGGGAGCTGGCAAAGGGTTCGTTTGCTTCATCTGTATAAATGCCTTGGCTTGGAACAGGGACCACTGATGAACTCAGTAACTATGGGATGGGGAGGGAATCTTAGACTTGGTGGGGGAACAAAGACTCTAGCAGGAGTGGGAAATATGGTTATCGAGGAGGGGGAGGTGACAGGAAGGAGCATGGGAAGGGAGTAGGGAGGCCTCTTCTTTTGAAACACTTCTGCCAAAGTGCCCTGGACACTGGCTGGCCAGGGTAGGAAGAGGATCTTTCGAGCTGCTGCTTTCTCACAAAGCGAGCAGCCTGAGGCAAGTGTGAGAGTTGGGGCGAGGTTGCTGCCTATGCATTGCGGTTCGGTGCATAGTGCCGGGTCCCCCCTGGCCCACAGACGCAGCCTGCTGAGGCCAGGAAAGGAAAGGACTACAGCAAGAGGAGCATCGTCCCAAAGTGCTTGTTAGGATTGGCTCAAAGCATAGTGAATGACGTTTCAGACATGTGAAGTGCTCCCAAGTGTCCTGTGTGCCCTTCCCTTCCCCCCCCCTCCTTCTTGGGTGTTGGGACTGTCTGGCCCAGCCTCCCCATGCAACCTGCAGTGGTGGCCAGAAGGTGGGCTGGCTAGCTGCTGCTGCATCCTTAGTTGGGAGGCTGGTCAGCGTCTTTACCAAATGCCGCTCGACCTGCCGCCGGGGGGAGCGAGAATCCGAGCCGAGGCTCGCTTTGGAACATGGTCATCGATTTGAGAACCTGTAGGGGCAGAACAGCAGAGGGTGAGACGCTGCTAACCTTTCCAAAGGCCCATGATGCTTTCACTTAGAGTGCTTTCATTAGATTGTAAGCTCCTTGAGGGCAGGGACTTTTTTTTTTTTGGCCTCTTTTTGTATTCTCAGCACTTAGCACAGTGCCTGGCACACAGTAGGTGCTTAATGTTTATTTATTTGTTTCTTATTGATGGATTCATTTGGACATCTATAGTCTATAGATCTGCCCTGGGCTGAGGGTACATTAATATATATTTGGCACCTAGGGATTCTGGTGGTATGCATGAAGTCAAAGGGTCTGAGCAGGCAGGGACCCCTCTCTTGGAAAGGGTCTGCTAACATATAAATCCTTCGTACCAAACTTCAAAAGGTTGTTTTCATTTAAAAAATCTTTCACTGTACTGAGAAATAAATGAGCCAGACCCCAAAGCCCCTGGATAAAGGGATACCAAGACTTAGTTACTAAAAGAGATCCATGAAACCCAACAGAATCAGCTGAGTTCTAGCTCTAGGCTGCCAGCACAGGATTGATGCCCAGGTCATCAAGAGGGCCAGGGAACAGGTTTTAAGGTGGAGAGAAACACAGATATCTCAGAGCTAGATGAGTTCTTGGAGATATAACCTATATTCAATAATCCTGTCTACAATTTCCTTGATAAATGGTCATCCAGCCTTGGTATACAGACTTCCAATGTGGGGGAACCCAGCCCATTCCATTTCCAGATAACTCTAATGATCAGGAAGTTTTTCCTGAAATCTAACCTACATCTGTCTCTCAATGACTTCCTCACACTGCTCCTAGTTGTACCTTCTATCGCCAAGCAAACAAGTGTAATCCCTCTTCCACATAAGATACCTGAGAAAAGCTCTCATGCCTTTCTTGAGTCTTCTACAAGCTAAACATCCCCAGTTCCTCCAACTACATCTTATAGGGCAGTCTCTCCAGACCTCTCACCATCTTCATAGTTCTCTTCTCCCAATTGTCTACTCTATGACCTCTCCCGACCCTGAGAAGTCTCTAGCATATGTAAAAGCGATACTTCTTTTTTCTTTAGTTCTGCCCAGAAAGAAAGGGATTGGTGGCTTAGAGAACTAGGGTGAGGATAGAAGGTCTATTTCATTCTGGGGAGAGAATGGAGATGACCATATATGGTTCTGTATGGGGAAGTCTGCTTTCTACAATTTTGGATGAATTAATTTGATGAAACCTTGGGGTAGTTGGTAGTTCTGGCAGATGGGTAATTGACACACCTTGGACCCTTTGAATTAGGCTGCATGATGGTAAGAAGAAACCATCATATGTGTGGGCCAGTGGCAAGCATTCTGAATCTCAAATAAAGTACCATCCCCCACCCTCTCCTACCCCAGACTACAGAGGGGTGGGCTTCCTCTTCTATTTTGTATTCCACTCTTAATGACTGGTGAGGGTAATGACAGCAGTGGAAACTTTCTGCCCTGTCAGAGGGATTTTGTTCTTTTGCATACCTCTGACATGGTAATACAATGACACTAGGCAGGCACTGAGAGAATCAGGAAATTCTTAGAAAAGAGAGGTTAAAGACTCCTACTCCTGAGAACAAAATATACAATAATTACAAAAGAAAGTTGAATTCTGAGTAATGGAAAAACTAGTGAAGGTCCTAGAGGAGAGAGCTTGAAACAAACCTTTTCTTTCGTAGCAGAGAAGCGGAGGACTACTAAGATAGAGTATTATATACACTGTCAGACAAGGCTTCTGCATTGGATATTTTTGCTTGAATTTTTTTTTTGTCACAAAAGAGGGCTCAATATAGATGGTAGGTGGTTGGGAAATAACTATGATTAGTCACTAAATAACAAGTCACTAAGCTATGCATACCCTTGGACCAGATGGTTGGAAGGGAGAAAAAAACAAATTCTGGTTAAATGAAAAATAAAATAAAAATTTCTTAAAAAGGAAATGACTAGGCTGTAAATACAGGGTCAGGTTCCTCATCTGTTAGGTTAAGGGTTGTACTACATGACCTCTGAGATCCCTTTTAGCTCTAAACATATTAAATTATGAAAATAAGCATCAACAGAAAATTTTTTTAAAAAAAGGAAAAAATAAAAGGTCCATTCTACCCCTGTGTCAGTGTATCAGATCCTTCCTCAATGGTGATACTCTAGAAATGAAGTCAGAAGTTCAACTGTGCAACATCGGGAGAGTAGTGTTCACTGTCCATTCTAGGGGAGAGATGATAGTGGATACAGTTCCTCTCAAAGCAGAGTAATTTGGAGGTCTTAGCATATTTTATAAACTCCAGAATCTCTTCACTTGCCATCAAGAGGTAGCTGCTTATCCATATGTAGCTGTTACATGTCATAACATATGAAGACACCATACTTGCCAAGCCCTATGCTCAGGGACCAGATTGCAATGGAACCCTATTTCTCAAGGGATAGAAGCCTTTGGAGTAGGAATTGGACCCAGATACTCCAAGGATCCCCAGGATTTTATAGGTTGCTTGAGGCTGGAGGCAGGCGAGAGTATCAGAAAGATTTTTTAAAAAGAAACTAGAATTCATAAGGAAAGAAAAAGGAAAAAACGATGCATCTTTTCAATGGAGGTCAAGGAAATGTAAGTTTAAAAGATTAAAAAAGGATAGAAAACTTCAGAAAGATGGGGAGAGAGAGAGAGAGACAGAGAGAAAGACAGAGAGACAGAGAGAGAGAGATGTGTGTATGTTGGGGAAAGAGGGAAGAATCAGAAATAAAAGATCCTAGAAAATAGTCAAGATCCAGAAAGTTGACTGGCAGAATTAGAGATGGTTTCCCAGATCCACGGGGATAATGACATCCATCAGGGCACTGAATTAAGTGCTGGAGTAGACCTTGCTATATACAGGACCCTCAAAAAGATGGAAAGGAAGGAGACTTGCTGGGCTGGGATATGCTAGATGTTGGTACAAACCTGGCAAAGTCTCAGGTGAGGAGGTGTTGGACTGTCTTTCTCTCACCTCAGCATTTGTCTAATGTAATATCTAGCTACATGAGAATTATGAGAAGCAATGTAGTGTAATGGTTAGAGAGCTGGCTTCACAGGCAATAAGACCTTGGGTTCAGGTACTGTGTTGGATTCACTTTGGCTATACAAAGCTGGGCAAGTCACTTAATCTCTTAGAGCCCCAAGCAATTCTAAGACTATAAGTTGTAGAGAAGGTAGTGATCTACACTGACAAGGGGAATCAGCTCCCGGGGAGTTCTAGTCACAAATCAGATCATGTCCTTGCCTGCTCCAAAAAACACTTCGCTATACTATTCTAGCACTTGCTACTAGAGTGTGGGGGAAAGGATGAACAGGTACCTCAGGCAAAGTTTCCTACTACCTGATGTAGCTGCATCAGTTTCTTCTCTTCCCTCTGCCCTCCCTCTTACCCTGTCCCTCCCCGGGACCCAAGTGCTGATACCCACACTGTGCTGCCCCTGCTCTTACCAGATAGGCTGAAGCTGGACTCGTGAAGGTCCCTCATGCCCCCATGTCGAGTGACTGGCCGGGTGGGAGTGTCTGCAAGTGGAGTTCCCATCTCTTTTTTCCCAGCATGCACAACCACAGCTACATCCCCCAGGTAGGGAGTGCGGTCCACTCCCTTAACCTTTAAGCTCTAATAAAGGGGTGGAGGGAGAAAAAAAAGACAACACCATCAGACCTAAGTGGGGCTTCTTCCAGAGATGTTCTTGGTGGCCAACAGAATACTGTATATAGCCACACTCACCTCATTTTTATTATCACTTTATGTAGCAAAGGATTTGTATATTATGATTTCTAAGGCAGAATTCTTTTTTGTGTCCCTGAATTGTGTGTGAGTGTGTAGAGAAAGCCCCAGGCTCACCTCCAACACTAGAGAATCCCAAGGGTAGAGTGAGGAGCACCCTCTGTCATTGGAGTACATAACTTCTGGAGACATTAGAAATTAAGAAGTACTGGTAATATGGAATTAAAACCAAATAAAATGGATGGTAGTTCATACAAATTCCTGTTGCATAACATTTAAAAGGCAATGACACTTATTGTCACTGTAATTTCATTATGGAAACTGTGCTTACATAACTATTTCACCTCCCACCACTGACCCTTTGACAAGTGAGGTATCCCTCATATCTGAACCACTCTCCCTTTCCCCTTTCAGCTCTTGAACTCTCTTGCTTGCTTCAAGGCTTAGCACAGGGGCTGTCCCTTACAAGAGGCCTTTTTTGATCTGACATCCACCAGTTGTTAGTGACCCCACCCCATTACATTGTATTTACTTGTCTGTCTATACATTGTATTTCTTCAATCTTTCTCCCCCTCCCCATCATGCCCCACCAGCTTGCCCTGGCAGAATACAGGCTCCTCCAGGGTACAGGCTGCTTTGTTTCTGGCACCTAACCCCAGGCCCCAAAATAGAAAGCACTTTATAAGTGCTTATTGAATTGAATTGAGTTACAACACCGATTTCGAAGATTGTCCCAAAGAGATAAACAATTCTTTCAGAAAATTTGTCATGCTGCAGGTGGGGAAATACAACTTATGGGTGAGTACCCATTCCCACTACAGAGCACACATGGTAAGAGGAAATTATTCACTCAGCATTTAAAATTTAGATTATAAGCTAGGGTTGTATCTTACTAACTGGGTAGTATGATTTGTTGGTTCCCTTCTTTGCAAATTGTAAAACCACTCTCAACAGGATGACCGTCTTAATCAGAGGAACAAGGAGAAGCATTATGTGAGAGATCTCAGAGAAGACCACACTTACAAAATTATTAATAAGTGGAGGAGAGAAAAATGAATGGACTCATTAAAGAAATATGATAAACTTTAGTTTTTAAAAATATTGATGTATCAAATTTCCCGTAAATCTTGGAAGTTTCCAATACCACAGACAAGTAAAGCTGACCCTCTCCAATCCTATAGCAGCCCAAAGTCTATCATCCTTTCCTGTGCTTTCAATGAAATAGGTTTCCTAGTGTGGGGGTGAAAGTAGGCATATAGCTTGTACAGGTCCATGCTACTTTGCATTGTAAGGATAAGGCAGGGGAGGTGCTGTATTCATGTTCTACATAATTTAGGGATGCAGAGAAAGGCTCTTTTTTTTCTTGCCTTGACCTCAATTTTGGGATATGGCTCTTTGGCACCCAGGAAACACTGAGATTAGGTCACATGTATGATTACTTTAAATTCTCTCTCTCCCTCTCTCATACACACAAACACATACATATTTAGAATTGGAATGGACATTAGAGGTCACCTAGTCCAACCTACTTATTTTACAGATGAGGAAACTGAGGCCCAGAAAAGGGATGTCTAAGGTCACACAAGTAGCTCACACAGAGTCAGCCAGGCAGGCAGGCAACAAGCATTTATTAAGGGCTTACTATGTGCCAGGCACTTTGATAAGCACTGAGGATACAAATACAAGCAAAAAGAAAGACAGTCCCTGCCCTCATGAGGCTCACATCCTAAGAGGGGAAGAAAGCACACAAAAGGGTACTAGAAAGCTGGGGGTAAGAGAATAGGGAAAGTATTTATTGTTGAGGAATAGGGAAAACATGCTGGTAAAATCTGCAAAGTCAGAAACAGAGGAATGAAGCATGGTTGGCCTAGGCCCGTCCCTTAAATGGAGGCTAAAGGAGGAATTCACAAATGGGAGAAAGGGTGCTGGAGGGAAAGAAGGATGTTTCAGGGTGAAAAGTCCCTATGTACTAAGCTGGGATTTGTACTTGGGGCTTCTGGCTCTGATTCTAGGACTTTTCCATAGCATCATACTAGATATACTGATGCTGTATGAGACCACTGTAGCTATAAATATCAGTAATAAACTAACTTGTCTCCTTGAATAGTATTCTATAGGAACAAAGGCTCTGGAAGATGCTGGAAGCAGATATGGAACATGACAAGCTATCACACCCTCTTATGTAGATCTCCATTGACTTCTAGAATGCTGACTCTGAAGCCAAAGCTTGAGATAAGGGATGTCAGGGGAGAGAAGGAGAAGAAAAGCGAGTTTCCTTTGGAAGAAAGTAGAACTTTCTGCCCCCCTGAGATCTTCCTTAATGTATGTGAAAGTTCTTTGTAATAAAAAAATGCAAGCTTCCATGATTATACCAACACTTTCAAAGAATAATGTAGTATAGTATATGCCTGCCCAAAGATTTCTTGGAATTCCCTGGAAGAGTTGGCTAGCTGTGATTTCTAAAATTGTCATTCAGCCAACAGAAAACTCAGACAATGACTTCTCACATTACTTTGCTTCCACTAAGAAAAACCCTATAATTTAACATCTCATGCATGTATACACATTAAGAAGTGACCTTTCTCTCCCCTTCTCTCTATCTCTCTCTATAATCACTCATATGATGACTATTATGCCCTTTAATAGTCCCTCAGTGACACAGATCAGTTTTGATATACGTTGTTTTGGGGGGATAACTGGCTAACTCTTTAGGTAGAAAACTTCACATCAATCTTTTTAATGGGAATTTTTCTAAAATGTATTTCAAATTTCTCAGCTGGAGTAAACAAGAATATACTGAATATGTAATTTAAACTTTTTTCAAGACCTCAAAGTTATCATTATCATTACTATATTGTTCAGTCATGCAGAGGTAATGGGGTATGTATTTGGCTAAATCCATGTCAATGTAAATTCACCTTTACTTGTTTACTTTAAGCAAATACACCTATCAGCTTGCTTTCTTGTCATCTGCTTTGTTCTCAGAGAAGAGGTGTGTAGTATGTAGAACCTAATAATTGTTCTGGGCAGTATAACATAGCGCCTTTTTAAAAAACAAAACTTGTTCCTAACAGTATTCATTCTTTTCCCAAATTGTTTCTTGATCTCAATTAAAACAATAACAATGTTGAGTCTTTTTCAGTATCCTTCCTTTACTGAAGCCTTTCTCTGATGCTTGATCATGGTATGGAGGTGATCTGGGCTCTGGAAAGCAATGCGAATGGAATATAGCTATAGTTACCTCTACCAAGCTTGGAAAATTTCAAGATAATGGGCAATATATTATCTGAGGACCAGTCTAGCTCAGTTCAGAGAGCCCACCAAGTACTAATACTTTTGGTCACAGAAACTTGTGGAACCACAAACTTAGACACAGCGGAGGTGCTGCCTAAGTCAGCAGAGTATGTACCCAAACTGATGAAACACAGACCTTTGTCTTTTTAACAGGATTCAAAATGATCTCTATTGTTTCAGCATCAGTAGCCACCTCGAGCTCATCAGCTTCAACTCAACTATCTCACTCCTTTCTAGCATCTACAAGGATAAGAGTTTCATGAGTTTATCCTTTTTCTCCATTTCTCACTTCTTGTAAGTGTTGCATGTCATTTTGATTGCTACATTGTCTTCATTTCCAGCAACACTTCCACATCTTGTGGACTTTCTCCTGATATTATTTCATTCTCTCCTTTACACATTCCATGTTCCAAACTAGCTGGATTACCAGCTGTTACACATTCTCCTACTATCCTCTTCTTCCTTCATGCTCTCAGATAGGCTGTGCCCCATGTCTAAAATACATTCTCTTCACATCTCCCAAGCATTGTTTTTTCTTTAAATCCCAGCTCAGGAGCCATGACTTCACTAAAGCTTCCTCAGCTATAAATAATTTTCAGAATTTCTTGTAGAGCTTTGCCTTAACTTCTCCTTTGCCCTTATTACCATTTCCCGTATATCATACTTTTTTTTTTTGATAAGTGCCTTATCTTCATTATTAGACTATAAGCTTCATGAGGGCAAGAACTGTGCCATAAGTGTGCTGGAGCCAGCTCATACCAGCCCACGACAAGTCAATTTTTAAATTTTCAGACTGAGCACTTACACCTCAGAAATTGAAAATGGGCAAATCAGGGCTTGATTTATTATTTTGTTGATTATCTAATCTTAAGGAAGTGGAGTAGAAAATGTTAATAATTCAGATTAAATTTAAAAGTGTATATTCCATACCTTTTTTTTTGAGAGCCAGTTCTTAAACATTTACAAGCATACCTGTGTCTTGCTTAAATTTTATATCTTGTACACAGCCTAGCACAGAACTCTGCTCAAGAAAGCACCAAACGTATTATTTAATCAATGAATGAATTATTCCTTGAGGACAGAGACTGGGATGTTTTTCATCTTTGTAGCCCTAGTCCCTAGAATAGTGCTTTGCATGAAGTAGCTGTTTAATAGACGTTTCCTGAATTGAATTGAAGATTGCTTCTGAAGAGCATTAAAGTTAGGCTGTGTTTTTTAGTCTCTAGATAAAATGGGATTTTGTGGTTCTTCTTAATGGTGCTAGCTCTTCAAAGATTTCTTCATTCCAGATACCTGAGGATACCAGATTTTGGGGAAGCACAGGACTAAGGACAGACAAGATAAGTAGTCATATAGGACGACACATCATATAGGTTAAACCAGGGGTACTTTGTAATGTTACTTTTTATAAATGCAAATTTAGTTTAAATTTTAATTTATTTATTTTTGTCAATGCTAAGGCTCAGAGGCAAATCTAGTTTTATGCAAGGCTGCTATCTCTTGAGAAAATTTCTTCCATTGATTATTTACCATTTCAAAGGCTTTGATGAATAAAAATTTTGATAGCTGACAAACACTTTGAGGGATTTTTGATCTCAGTGATGTGGGTCATCTTTCCAACAGCAGAGATTGCAAGCCATCTATGTCTTTTCATCTTGTTTGATTTCTTGTTTGTATCTTCCCCTAAAATGCTCCAGAGGTGTCTGCTCAGCATTCTGGGGGCCTTCCTCTAGGCCTGATGATATCATATGGATAAAAATGGAGCATGTCGGCTATCCACTGGTTATCTTTCACTATGATTATTATATGACCAGCTCTCTTCCCTTTTATGATACCCATCTCTCTGCTAACTTCCTATATACTGCTTCTCCTATGTAGGTCTTCATTGGTAATATGTTGCAACCTAGTCACATTTCCCATGTACCTCTCCATTGCCCTTTGGGTGACTTCTGACTTTAAATTTCTGGAGACTGTGATATATTGAGATGTGCAGTTATACCAAATCATGAGAAGAATATTGGTGTTAAAAAGATGGGTCTTCTTTCAGGGAGAAGCTTGGAGTCATGAAAAGCACCGCACAATTTCCCAAAAGCAATGTAATTCTTAACTCAATACACCGTCCATCTGCAGTGCCTGTCCAAAAATCTATCTATCTATCTATCTATCTATCTATCTATCTATCTATCTATCTATCTATCCACACATATACATACATATATATACACATATATGAACACATACATATATGTATGTATGTGTGCACATATATATATATAATATTTATTATATATCTTATATATAGTCTCCTATATATATGCCTGCTATGGCCTTCATAGTCTTTTGACCATGAATTTTGTTTTTGCAAAAGATTCCCTTATATTGAGTTTCTATCCATAGAATCATCATCTATTGAGATAATACAGGGAACTGAGCTTTCATTAACTGGAAATCCTATAGCATCCTTAGAACATTTTGGAAGTTTTTTTCCTACTTTTTTTTTTGTTTTGCTTAGGCAATGGAGGTTAAGTGACTTGCCCAAGGTCACACAGCTAGTAACTGTCAATTGTCTGAGGCAGGATTTGAACTCAGGTACTCCTGACTCCAAGGCCAGACCTCTATGTACTGCACTACCTAGCTGCCCCCTCCTACTTTTTTTTTTTATCATACTACCTGGCTAATATAGAGGAGAGGAAAGACCTACTATAGGGATCCATAGAATTGTTGTCAAATGTTGATGAGGTTATTTTATCATAAATGTTAATATCTTGCATTATTCTTCTGGCTCAATGTGAAATATTTTTTAGAGGCTGTGCTGATGCCTCTTGTATTTTGTCCTTGTCACAGCACAGTATCATAGAGGGGCACTATAACTACCTGGTTTGCTTTTGTATTTAACATCTTCAATTTTCAAACATATGCATTTCCTAGCAACCAAAATCTTCTTTTGTATAAATGAGGTGGTATTGGATTTCTTCTCTTCATCTCTGTTGGCTCCTAAAACAGTGTTTGGGAACATTCTGAACCTTCAGGGTATAGGATTATAGCTTCAATTTTTCGGTACAAAGAAGTAGTTTCACTCTTCCTTTTTGCCTTACTGAAGATCTGTATAAACGAGGTAGGAAATTCATCCACTGAGATTAACTAATGTTCCTCACCTCATTAATAGCATGAGGGATCTAAGCATCATACAGTGGTGGAAACCCAAAGAGAGTACAATAAATTTGCAGATCAAGGGAGGTTTCTGGTTAATGGAAAGGGGAATTCTGCTATACAACAGACAATCCTAAATTCCCCTTCTTGCTATCCTACGAGCTCAAGCCTGTCTGGTGATTTTAGAAATCTGGTTGGTAATCAGAGCATAGGAAATAACATAAGCTCAAGAGCCAGTAATGTTTCATTTTTATTTTGTATTCCCAATGCCTAGTAGAATGCTTGATATACAGTAGGCACTTTGTAAATGCTTGTTCAATAAAAGGAATCTATTCTCTAGGTTTTAACAATCAAGTGTACTATTGTCACTAACATACTAACCTCTCAGCATAACAAAGCTAGGCATAGGTTAAAAATAAATTTATCACTTTTATGAAAAGCTTTTTGCAGAAGGGAGCTAAAAGACTGAATATGGGCAAGAATAAAGGTCCTCATAGACATATGAACAGAGGGGCCTTGAGACTGAAGATAGGCCATCCATTTCATCCCAATCAAAGGGGGCAGAGAAAACCTTCCTGCCTCTCCTTGTTCTATGGATCAAATCAGAACATACATCCTTGCCCAAGGTAATAAAAGGCTTGGCCCCAGAGGCAAGAACTAGAAGCACTGGGGTAAGCTGAAAAGGAGGCAGATTTAGGTTTTATGTCAGAAGAAACTTCCTAATAATTAGAGCTATCCAAAAGTAGACTAGGTTTCCTTGATGCATCCCTCTTTTTTTTTTTTAAGTGACTTGCCCAGGGTCACACAGCTAGTAAGTGACAAGTGTGTGGTCTGAGTCTGGATTTGAACTCAGGTCCTCCTGACTTCAGGGCCGGTGCTCTATCCACTGAGGATGGTCAATTTCCAATGATTGCCTTAAACAGTCAGTAAACAAGTACTGCTATTGGCTTGACTACAAGCATGGTAACTAGGTATTAAAGGTTTGTAATATGTAGAAAAGAAAATTTAGGGTAAATGTCAGACAATGTGATCAGTTAGCTACATATCTTCTCTAACAAAATGACTATCTGAAAATGCCTCATCCCTTGAAATCTGAGCATCAGAGTGGTGATAATTATATCTTTTAATTTATAAACAAACTTTCAAGAATGGCAGAGAAAAACAATAACTAAGACATGAGTCCTAATCAAAAGTTCAAGCATAGACTTAGATAGATGACCATTTATCCCACCTATAGGTAGGATTCCTTTCAGTCCTGGGTTGGATTAGATGACCACTAAAGTCCCTTCCAACACTCAAATTCCATGACTCTGAGTATAATCTAGAAGCAGATGAAGAAGTTGGGGGTAAGAAAAGAGGATGGATTTTCTAAAGGATTCCATGCTCCTGAAACAAGGGGCTTCTTAATACAGGGGTGGAGAAAGGAAACCTCTTATACTTTTTGATGGATGGGGGTTATGGGGGTTGGGGCTTGAGGACTCTTGGGACAGAAATTAGAGAAAGGAGTAAAGGATCCTGAATGTCTGACAGGGACAATAGCAGAATATGCAAGGAAGTACTAGGAATAGGTCAGGCTAGAAGCATTTTAAAGTAACATTCAGTTGATGGAGCAGCTAGGTGGTGCAGTGGATAGAGTACTGGCTCTGGAGTCAAGAGGACCTGAGTTCAAATCTGGCTTCAGACACTTGACACTTACTAGCTGTGTAACGCTGGACAAGTCACTTAACCCCATTGCCTAGCCAAAAAAAAAAGTAACATTAGGTTGAAGTGTAGAATCTACACTTTACTACAAATTACTTAGGGAAGCCATGATAGGAAGTGGGGGAGATAGCAAAGTGCCGTCAGGAATATATTTCTTTCACTGAATCGCTTTCAGTCCCTTGGTACTCTCACTCATGTGACAAGTCTGAAATGGCTGACAGATCTGAACTACCCAGGGTCCAGAACTGTCCATTTGTATTAATATCAGGACACCCAGGGCCAGACTCAAAATGATGTTAAGCCTCTTCCTAATAAGAGTTAGCGTTTACATAGCTGTTCAAGATGTGCAAAGTGCTTTACAAATATTTTCTCATTTTATCCTTCTAATGACCCTAAGTATTATTATCTTTATTACCTACATTTTACAGATGAAGAAACTGAAGCAGATGGATATTATGTGATTTGCCCAGAGTCACACAATTATAGTAAGTGTCTGAGGCTGGATTTGAACTCAGGTCTTCCTGATTCCAGATCTGGCACTCTGCACCATTTATCTGCACGATTTAGCTACCTCTATATTACTAAGCAATATAGAAGTGAATAGTCTTCTCTGGAGCAATGCCCATTCAATTGCCTGCCAGGAGCCCTAGGGAAAAAGCTTGGGTGTCAGGGTTATGATGAACATGCAGGACTGATCTATCCATGATTCAGATTTCCTGTGATAACTTTACATGCTGTGGAAGCATAGGGTTTTAGTAGAGCCCTATCTAATGCCTGTATATCCACAATCCATTAAGTATATCCATAACAGAGTTTCAGGGAATAAAGTAACTCCTGGGCAATCACCAGAATACAGTAGAAATTTACCTAGAATAACTGAATCCTGCTTGGAGGCTAGACCAGCAATTTCCCACTATCCTGGTATCTGGGAATGGGTGCTGAGAATACTCCCATTTACTTTCCTGCTAGAAGCATCAGGGAAGCTCTTTCTCCTGAATTCCATTTTGCCCCACTGACATTTTCTACTCTTTCTGTTTTTTGCCAAAGTGAGATGGGGCTGAAGAATGAAAGGAAAAAGACTTTTAAGCCATTCAAGGCCTCAGGCAGGCTGTGCAAGGATCTGGCAGGAAGTTAGTTAGTTACCAGCATTTATGGGAAACAGAGAATTCGCCCACGACATCTCTGTAAGCAGCCCAAGCACATACTCCTATTCCCCTCTCCAACGCTTACCTTCTCTCTCTGGACCAGCTTCTTGTACACAGTATCTGGGAAGGATCGAAGTAGGCAGAACTTGCCTGTGCCCTCAGCACACATGAAGACTCCATTCTCATACACAACTCGTCCTCGGCTGATAGTGACCAAAGGAACCCCGTGGCAGCGCATGTTTTCATATAAATTTATATCTCCTCCTTGCACTTGAGTGCTAGCTGAAATGGTCCTGGGTGGGGAGGAGGGAGATGCTGGTGTCACAGGTAAAATACAAGCTGCTTTGCAGATAGGGCTTACACCCAGAGGTGCTGTTAAATTCTAGACAAGTTACTATGGATTGCCATCTTAATCTAAGAATACGGTAAAAGAATCACTAACGAGTGATGAATTTTAGCTAATCAGCCACTCAGAAAGCAGCAGGGAATAATAGAGAGCCCACCTCAGAGTCAGGGCAGACCTGGATTCAAGTCTCAACTATGACATATTTTGCTTTTGTGACCCTGGCCAAGTCATTTAGCTTTTTAGTGTTCTAGGCAACTCTCCAAGACTAGAACTTAACAAAGAAGATATTAGTCTACCTCTGTAGAGAAAGTTCCCTGTACTAAATGAAATCAGAGGTTCAATCCAACCCTGCCCTCCACCCTCCAAATAATCCACCTGGATAAGACTGAACACTATTATTTAGCTTAAGAAAAGGTTTAAAATAATTTCCCTGGACTTCTTTTTTTTAGGCATTTGGGGTTAAATGACTTGCCCAGGTCACACAGCTAAGTGTTTGGTCTGAGGCTGGATTTGAACTCAGGTCCTCCTGACTTCAGTGCTCTATCCACTGCACTACCTAACTGCCCTTTTTTTTTTTTTAACACTGATCTTACTCTTTCTCGTATCATAGGTATTCATGTGCACGTCTTTAGATGGTGAGCTCCTAGAAAGCAGAAACTGTTTCATATCTATCTTTGTATCCTTGGCACCTAGGAATAGTGCCTTGAACATGGTGGGGTCTTAACATTTTTATGGAATTGAATGAACTCAATGCTTCAAGCCCCTTCAACCTTCTAATCCCAGAGTTCTAGAACACGGATCAGCAAACTAGGCCTGAGGGCCAAGTCAAGGCTTACATTTTAAAATACGACAAAACTTTTTTAAAAATATAAAAACCATTTTTGGCTCCAGTTATATAAAAATGGGTGAAGTTTCTGTTTTGCCAGCCCTTATTCTAGAACACCAGCTCTCTTAAAATCCCAAGTCCCTTAAAGCCTGGGGTCTGGTTTTACTTTGTAGCCTCTGGGTCCCACACAACTACATCAGCGTCAGCTCCCGGGATGATGCGGCCCTTTCGGGGATACAGGTTGTGAAGCTTGGCTGCATTTGAACTAGTCACAGCCACAAAACGGTTTTCATCCATCTTTCCTCCCACCTGGAAAAAAATGACAATTAGAAGAATAAATCATAGTGTCATGAGATACCTGTATAAAACCACGCAATCTCCATCGTTTCTCTTTATTCCTTACAGAGGCCTATTAACTTGGCTGGAGAGAGCATGGTCTTTATAAGACTAAGGCTGTACTTGATTTCTTTGCTTTATTTCATAAGCATTGAATATAGCCTAACCCCATCCAGCCATTTAAAAAAATGCATACCAGTGTTCCAAAGGGCTGTTAGGTATAAATCCATGGCAATGAATAGAAAAGCATTGTAACATATATCCATTGTAACTAAGAGAAATGTATAATCTGCTGATGGCAAACTAGTAACAATGTGTCTGTATGTGACTGTAAGTATATTCTGTATAGCTGAAAATATAGTTGTCTACTCTTTTGTAATTTCCGTTTTCAACTCCCATCCTTGGGGCCTATTTCCTGAACATTCACAGGCCACTAAGGTACATAGGGATAGCCTCACCATTCTTCCATGTGTTATATTTTCGGCCAAGAATAGAGACTTAATTAAATATATCAAAGATCTGACTAATCATGTGCCATTAAAACAAAGATGCAGCTAACATTTATAATGTAAATCATGTAAAGTGGCAAAAATTCTGCTCCACATCCTGTTAAATGGACATAAACGTACACTTGGATTATACAAAGGTTCTCAATGAATATAGCTGCATATATACAGCACATAAAAATTACAGTTCTATGCTAATATGAATTTTACCTAAAGCTAATATGGCTACTTATCATAAATTTAAATGAAATGTTTAATTAACTTCAATTTTCCTTACCCTCTGAGAAATGAGAAAGGTTTTTGATTTTTGCATTAAAGATTCTCATCCTTTCCCTTGGCAGGTGTCTTCGCCTTTGTTAACTTATACTGTACTGTCTTTGGGCAGCTTATAGTCTAAATAATATAGCACTGAATTCTGGGCCCCGTATTGTTAGCTGTTCTTTGTCTGTGGCATATCAGAAACAAAAATATTCACCTAGATGGACAGGTCTGAGGCCTTCAAATTAGGTCTCAGTGTCATCAATGAAGCCTCTTCCAGTGGAGAAGAATTCTTGAGCATTCCTTTGTCCTTAAACTGCCCCCCTCCCACCAGATTCCTAATGACTGAAGGAGAAGAAAGATGTAAATCAACACTACCTCATCATGATCCAGATTTCTGCTGTGGGGCAAAGGTGACTTAAACCTTATGGGAAGCAGGGTAAAATGGTAGGAAAGAATGTTGGATTCAGCCTGAGGAGGTGGATTCATTCTGGTTCTGCCACTGACTACCTGGGTGACCTTGGATAGTTCAGTTTAATCTCGGTGGTTCTCAGGGTTCTTGATGGGTCCCTTTCAGCCCTAAATCTACGATCCAGTGATAACAATCTACCCTGCTTTTGTCCTCACTAAAATGGCAACTGAGGGAATTAGCCTGCTTATGGTGGTAATAAATGGTTTAAAAAAATCCCCTCAAACCCAAACCTCTTCTGTACCTTGGCAGTGGTAAATGATTATGCCAGAGTGAGACAGGGATTACTGCAAGGCTCAGCCCCGCATAGAACTATGCTTCTGGGCACTATTGTGCCTGCTGTACTCTTTCGTATCAATCAATGCCTTTGGAAGATTCTTTGGATAAGAAGCTATTGCAATAAACTGATGGAGCCCTTCTAAAAACCTGCTTAGGCAACACATCCAGGATGAAAACAATGTGAGGCTGGGAAATTAAAAATAAATCAGGAGACCCAAAAAACTTACCACGCCTCTCTCCCAGATGATACTCATACGGTCTTGTACACCACTCACTCCATGAGGGATCTTAGTGAAATCCTCCTTGCCCATTGCCTTCTGTTTTGTGGTGAAGGGCCGATGGTCAGAAGCTACAATGTTCAGAGTGTCACTGAAGGGACAGAAGGACATGATGAGTGTAACAGATTAAATTAGCTGCTCCTTAGCTATTGCTTAGCCAAAGTGCCAAAAAGCAGCTCATTTCCTGTCAAGGAATTAATCTGAAATGGTTAGAAATCTCAGCAGGAGAGGTATATATACAAACAAGGACTGAGCAACAATTATATTATATATTCGACCAATAATAAAGTAAGAGTATAACAACTAACCTGCAAATTAACTTAAAATGGCAAAAATTACTTTGCTTATGCAAGGAACCTCAGTGAACACATCTATATAAACAACACACAAAAATTATAATTCTATTCTATAAACACTTTTTCTCTTTTAAAATACATTTTTTTTAAATAGAGAGGCACTATATCACAGTGGACAGGAAACTTAATGTGGAATCAGAAAAGCCTGGGTTCAAGGTCTGCCTCTAGTTATGTGACCCTGAGCAAGTTACCTACCCTCTATGGAGCTCAGGAAACTGTCTAGGACTATAAATTGTAGTGCAGGTACCAATCTGCATTGGCAGAGGAAATTTCTTCATTGGGAGCTCTCTATACCAATGAAATCACAGGTATAATTTTAAAAATCATTACAAACATTTTACTTATGTTTTTCATCTTTACACTGAAGTCTCCCACCACAAAAAACCCAACATTTACAGGTTTTACAAATTTGATCTTAAAAAATCACTGTCATAATTAAATTGAAATTTGAGTTTAATTTTCTGTACTATCTTAGAATTGAAAAGGGTTTTTCAGGTGGACTGGGTACAAATTGGATGACCCAGATTTCTTTAAAAAGCTGTGCAACTAAGTATGCCTTAATGGCTTCTTTACTTTCATTAAGTTTCCCTGCAGCAAGTGGGACATTCAAAATATTCCAGTGATGTTATAGCTACACTCAAAGCACTGTAGTTGATGCTCCATAACTGCTTATTGATGATTGATGGTTGTTTTCCTTTTTCTTCTTCTTCTTTTTAAACTAAAAAGCAGTTTTTAGAAGAAAAGACTGACCTGACATATTCCCTTCCCCATCTCCTCAGTTTACTCAAAACTACAAAGTACAGTTATTCAGCATTGGAGCAAAGCAATGCTAGCAGAATCACAACATGTCACTGGAGTCTGCCTTTCTCAGTTTTCAGTACACAGGGCCTACTTGACACTTTCATGATAATGTGCAACAGGGACTTTATACTTTACCATAAAAAGCAATTAGCAGCTCATTGATAGACTTCAAAAGATGCTTCAAAACAGCTCTCTGAGAATTTCTAAGGCAGGAGCCTGAATGCACACAGCTGTTACCTTTATCGTTGCCTTTATTAGGAACACTGATAGAAAATCTCAGAATGAATCATTAAAGATGACAAGAGATGAAATTTGGTTTTTATTTACCTTTTTGGATTAGATCTGTGATTTCATTGGTCACTCCTAGTGTGGAAACTCCTTCTACCCAATGCAAGTAGACACCTGCTCTAAAACTTAAGTCTTAATTAGAAATTTGCCAAAGGTACTGGGGTGAGATGACTTGGCCAAGGTCACACAGCCAATATATGTTGGAAGTGGGTCTTGGATTAAGTTCTTTCTGACTCTGAGCTTTCTATTGACTATGCCACATTGCCTTTCAATATTAATTAGGGAGGGACAAATGTGGGTATCATGAATGAAGAGTAGGCACTGCACGTACCAGAAGAGAGTACGGGAGAAGAGAGGTGATACTTGGGATACAGTGTGAGTGATCTCTTTCTATTCCCTTCTTTATTGAAAGGAGTGGCAACAGGCCAGAGGTGCCAATCTTTGGCATTAGTCTATGGGCTTTCTGCTTAGGATGAGCCTCCATGATGAATCTCATTTTGAATCTCTTGATACACAAAGAGTCCTAGATTCCAGGGCATTCAAAAGAACCAGCACTGGGCCCATAAGCTGTACCAATGGCATTCACTAGTTCTGAAATATTTAGCTTCTTTCCACCCAAGCTCTGTTTTGATTCTCAGTGTACTCTTTAAAAACCTTTTAAAGGGAAAGCTCATGGACTTCCTCTAGGTAAAAAGAAAGCAAAATTTATTTGTTAGCATTTTGTTCTGAGATGACATCTTCCTAGCTTGACTAGGCTAAAAATGCAGCAGTCACCAATGGGCCCAATCCCACTACTGATTGGCAAAGAAGCTTTGACCTGCTCCATTACTGACCTGGGTCAGTTTTTCCTTCTTTAGGCAGACTCATGGCCTCCTGCTGCCAGGGGTTCATCATATTAGTGCCAGACTTAGTGCAGTTATCTGATTGATGTTAGCTCTACTGCAGCTCAGAACTCCTGAGCTCAAGAGATCCATCATTTTCAGCCTCCCCTGTAGCAGGGATTATGGTGTATACCACCATACTCAGTAAAAAGCAAAAATTTAGGTAAATGGAGTTTATAATGGTGAAGTAGTAAGAAAAGTACTTAATTTATAATAAGAGTTTGTATTTCTTTTAATCCTTCCTCTAACTGCTTACAAAAAGAGCAGATGCTAATGAATGGATATGTCATTTTTTCAATTAACAATTCCATTTTTGTTTAAAAGTTGAGGAATATGTGCTCTATTCCTGTTTCTCTTAATTATCTACTCCTAAAGAAAATCTGAGAGGAAATGGGCATAATAGAGAGAGAGAGAACAGATAGAGTCATGAATACCTGGGTTCAAGTCTTGCCCATGACTCATATGGACTATGTGCCTTTGGGCAAATCATTTAACCTCTCAATGCTCCAAGTAATTGTAAAAGACTACAAGTTGCAAATCTATTGCTATTCTGCATTGGTTGAGGGAGTTTATTCACTGGAAGTTCTCTATATCAATGAAATTATGGGTCTAGACCAAAAAACAAACCCTAAAGGAAAAAGAAAGATGAGACAATCCACCTCTTGGACTTATGCTACCCTAGACAGGGGCCACAGGGTCACGTAATGGTAGCCCTCATAAGTACATGCCTAAAACCCTAAAGGGATTGATCTTCTTACCTAGAATCTTACCTGAAGGGTCAGAAATCTCCTGGATGATAGGAGCCGCAACCAACCTATGGGTCAGTGCCCAATCTGGCCATGGGATCACTTTGCTTATGCTTTACTTCTTAGGTCAGTACTGTGTGCATTAGGCCACTGGGCCCAGCTTTTAAAGGTGGTTGCAGTTTTATCAGTTACATTAAGGGACTCATTAAAGGAAAAAGCTTTTTTCTTATAGAAAGCAATTTAAAATGCTCAACTTTCCCTATATAAAAAAGGAACATAAAACTTTATTTGACAAATGGAGATATTACTAAATATATGTGTGTGTATATATACACATGCATGTACATATATGCACATACACATATATACTTTTACCTCAATACCCCTGTATTCATATACGTATGTATGCATGTGTATACACACAACACACATGTGTATATACATGCATGTATGTGTGTGTGTATCTCCTTCAATTCCATTTTATGGTCAGTGAAGTGACAGTGACTAGGAGCAGATTAGGGAACAGGGGATAGGAAAAGAAAAGGGAAAGGAGACACAGAGTAAAGAAAGGGACACAAAGAAACTCAGTTGGAAGGGATCTCACATCCAGGTCATCTTGCCCAACTGCAGGTGAAAAAGAATTCTCTCTACTATATCCCCACATGACCAGCCCATCTCTGTCTCATGACCTTCAGTGATTCACTACCTTTTGAGACATCCCATTCCACTTTCAGGCAGCTCTGGTTGTTGAGGAATTTTTTCCCCCTAGCATCCAGCAGCAATCTGCTTCTCTGAACCCTCTTAGCATTATTCTAGTCTTTCTCCATGGGGCCAAGATGTTTATTTCACTTGGCTTCAGGCCTGGGGAAATGAGCTACCTTAATTGAAAATAAGGACAGATATTTAGAAAGAAGGGGAGAGTGGTAAGACACATGGAACAGTTTGTCCAAGGCGCATCCACCAGCCTTTAAGACACACCTATATGCAACTGCTCTCTTTGAAACTCACAACTAGCCTCCCAATAGAATTATCACTCATGGACAACCACCATGTTATAGATTTCATAGGTCGCCAGCCCTTACAACATATGTACAATGTTACATGACAGATGGACAAATAGATGGATGAGTAGCAGAACAGAGATGAAGGTATAACGAAAGGACAGACACAAAAAAATTAGGAGAGAAAGAATACTGAAGTAGAGGTGCTTAAGTAGGTTCTGACATCTTGTGCTGTGACATCTCTTGGGTTGTGGGTTTCAGAATGACTTATTGATGCCCTCTGAAATTCTAATTAATCTTTGGTCACAATTCGACAATTGTTTTTATATCTTTAAACCTTTAGACACATTTACCCTGAATGGGCTAGCTATTCAATAGGTTAGTCTGAACTTATTTTGGGGGTTCTATATATGACAGCCAGAGCAATCTTATCCTATGGGCTAGGTGAAATTAAACTGATGTCCAATGTGGCCCTATGGGTGGTGGATTCTTCATCCCTAGATAAAGTCTTCTCAGTAATCTACAAATTCCCATCCTGATACACACACACACACACACACACACACACACACACACACACACACACACACACACACACACACACTGTAATTCATGCTGGTGATGATGGCATGAACTCAGCCCAGTAGGTTCCTTACTTGGCTAGCAGACTCATGAGGTAGGTGGAAGTGTTGGTGTCCAGCCTCAGAGGGGGCACTGTGACATAAGCAGCTGCATGGGACCAGTCCTGGTGGTAATAGTGTAAGCCTGTCAACGTGGCATGTGCAGTGGTGGTCTCTGCATAGACAACCTTACCTGAGAAAAAGATAAGAGAACATTATTAAGCATTGTAAATCCAATTTTTTTTAAAAGCAAACATTTCATTGAATCAAATTTTTGTTAGCCATTTTTAACCAAACTATTTTTGAGAATCCAAGTGTATCTTTGCTTATAAGTACAGAAGTAAAGTAAAAAACTTTACTAAGAAACAGAAAGAATTGCCAAATACATGCTTCTACAAATTTCCTGCACCCAATATTCAAAGACAGAAATAATGATGACAGTTCTGCACTTGCATTTCATTGGTTTATAAAATGAACATTGCATTGAAGGCTTTATGTAGAAAAGATGCTTTCAAATGGAGAATGGAGATTATCTTTAGGTGTTTGGTCCAGGAATACAGTCTGGGATATCCTGTCATATAACGAGGCCTTTGTGAGCCGAGGATATTCCCTATCTTGCCTGATTCAGATTCCACCATCTTCTGCAACATGTGGAACAAATGGAATTGGGTTTGGAAATGAACCAAATCAAGAAATAAATTAAACATGCAAAAACACTAAAGCTGTTTTGGTTCAGTTAAGCTTTCAGTTGTCAGAAGTACATGAAGATGAGAGCTCACCATTTTGAAACAGCTCATATTTCTATAGCAGTATGATTAAAGAAAAAGAGGAAAGTGATGATAGCAATGGCTCAAAAATGCAATTGATCAAAGTTCTTCTGTGAGAGAAAAGTTGCATTTGATAAGGTTTCTTTTTCCTGAGTACACTGAAAACCATTTTTCCTGTGTTTCTATAATTTGTAGGCTACTAAGCTCAGAAAGCACATTTTAATTTGTTTTGTTGTACTGTTAATAGTTTCTTCTCCTGGTTTGGCTTGTCTTCATTAAACTGGCAAAACCTAAGGCAGGCCAGTTCAGCAGGACACAATGTGGTGTGGGTAGAGCACTGGACTCTTTTGAGTCAGGAAGACCTACATTCAGATCCTGAATTCAGATACTTACTAGCTGTGTAACCCTGACAAGTCACATAATCTGTTTGCCTCAGTTTCCTCAGCTGTAAAATGAGGATAATTATAGCACCTACCTCTAAGGTTCTTGTGAAGATCAAATGAGCTAATATTTGTAAAGTAGTTTATAAACCTTAAAGTGCTGTATAAATGCTAGCTTTTACTGATTAATCAATTAATTAATCATACTAATATTAATCAATCAATTACTCAATAAATAAAATTAATTAATAATCAATCAATAAACATTTAAAAGGAAACTCAGCAAAATTTTAATTATTATATGAGTTAATAATACCTTAAATTTATTAGGACTAACATGATAATTTTATGAGCACACCAAGCTATACTGAATACACAGTATCCTGTATGTTCCTAATGCCTACCACCTGTGTGTGATTTTTGTAGAAGCCCCTTAACCTAGTTTCCTCACTTGTAACATGAGGAGGTTGTACTACTAAATGACTTTTGAAGTCCTTTCTAGTTCTATGATCTGAAGACAAGGAGAGAGAGAGAGGGAAGCTGGGAGAAGAGGAAGGAAAACAAGACTGAAGGAAAGAAGGAAGGAGGGGAGGAAGGAAGGAAAGAAAAAAGGAAGATGGAGAGAAGGAAGGAAAAAAGGAAGAAAAAAGGAGGGAAAGAAGGATAGAAGGACAAAAGGAAGGAAGGAGGAGGAGGAAAAAGGAAGAAAAGAAGGAAGGAGGGAAAAAGGAAAGAACAAAGAAAAGAGGGAAGAAAGGATAGAAGGATGAAAGGAACGATGGAAGGAAAGGAGGAGGGAAGGAAGGATGGAAAGGAGGAAAGGAAAAAAGGAAGGAAGAAAGGAAGGAAGAAGGCTGGCTATATTCAAAGTCAGAAAATGAGGTTGGATCTTGCTTCTGCTTACTTATTACCTGTGTGGTCTTGGTGAAGTTACTTAGTCTCTTTGACCATCACCTGTAAAATGAAGAGCCTCTGAAGTCTCTTTGAGCTCTGGATCTATGATCATGTGATCGTAGAGGGTAAATGACTATGGATAATAACAGCTTCCATTTCTTTAGTGTTCCTGACAACGATGAGATCAGAGGAATAATTCCATGATCTTCCTTTTACAGATAGTGGAACTGAGTGACTTACTGGTGTCAAAAAAGCAAATAAAAGTCAGAATCAAGACTTAAACCCAGATATCCTGAGTCCAGTACTCTTTTCAGTGAAACATATTACCTCTCTAGAATGTGGTAAGTGCTTAAGAAAATGCTACCAAAGCTCACAGGAGGGAGAGGTCACTGATAGCTATGAAGGAGTTGAGAGATCCTGTGGTGGTAGAATCAATAGGATTTAGCAAACAATTGGATGCAGGGGGTGAGGGAGAGGAAAGAGGAAAAGAATTAGGATGGGTGACTCTCAAGGACTGGAAGATGTTCTTAGCCTTGACAGAAATAGACAAGTTTGGAGGAGGATAACAATGGAAGTTGGGAATAACAGAAGAGATAATCAAATAGTGATTAAGTTCATAATCTTGGCATCAGCATCATTGTCTAAACTGATCTTCTTTTGGTAATGCAAAAGACTACCTTCTTCTACTCCCACTTTCAACTGGAAAACACTTCATCTTGGGTGCAGGTAAGCTTGATAATCTAGAAGTGCTTAATGAGAAGGTCATGACTGGAAGAAAAGGGTCATTAGAAACAAGAGAGGAGTGCTCAATGTTCTGGGAAATCCCAGCAGGGCCAAGTGTGCCCCTTCAAAGTAAAAGTTAGAGAAGAAGCCAGCCTACCTTGACTCCAATCACTTTTTAAATCCTAAGACCTAAGCTGAGTTTCATCGGCCTTACCTTCCATCCCTGCCTGCAGGCTTACCTTGCATCTTAGCAGCAGCAATGACATCTCCAGCAGAGATACTGGAAACGTTGACCAGGTAAACTGGACAATGAGTCTAAACACAAGAAACATAGTTGTCACACGATCAGTCTTTCAACAAACCAGGCATAAGAAGTAGACAGCATCTTCATAGGAAAAATAACTTTAAAAAAAAAACTCCATTAGTAAAAGAATTCTGTTGGGGAATCTAGTCTGCCTGTGCCAGAAGGGAATCTCCAAGTATGGCACTCTTTCCCCTACACTTTCTATTATCCCTCCACCTTCTCTTCACCCTCTTTAAACAGCTCCTTATAATGGAAGTATTGACTGGGAGCTATTCATACTTTGGTAGTGAACCAGTTTTTATCTTAGGTTCTGATAAGAGGCGGCTGTATTTGAGAGGGATGGCTGCAAAGGGACACTAAACAAAGTATCTGAGAATGATAAAGAATAAATTACAAAAGGCAACTGTTGTAACTTCTGCAAGTTGGGGTGGTTGGGTTCTGATGCCAGGACAGAGGAGGAAATGCTGCTTACCCTGTTGGCAATAGTGATAACACGGTGGGTCGCTTCGGCTTCCAGCTGTTTGGGAAAACAACACAGGAAGGAAACAAAATTCATCACCACCCTCAAATCAAGTGTTTTTTGAATGTGAGGTATCGTGCTAGGTATAGTCTCATGTAGTGCGTATGCCATACACATTTACAGAGATGATCCATCTTATGATTCCCTGTGTTGTCTGGGGTCCCTTGCATATACTTGCAAAGAAGGGGCTTTGGACTATGAGTCAGGAGATCCGGGTTTGATTCCTTCCTCCAATACTTACTAGCCATATGATATTTAAATAATAGCCCAGAAAGAGGAGGAAGGGCTCTGATATTTTTCAGTCTTTTCCCTTTCTTAATCCAGCTTTGCCCAGACTACCCCCTAGTGCATGTCTATGGTTTCTCAACGAAGGCCAACACAGGGCTGTTCTAGTTCCCTCTGAGACAGAGTTGTCATTAGAGTATAGTGACAGAGGCTTTGCTCCAAGGCCCCAAAATTTAAAGACAGCAAAAATTTAACATGTATACTATGGAAACAACTGAGCTTACCAGCTAAATTACTTAGTAATCTTTGTCTTAGGGAAGCCCCTACAATAATCATCAGTTCTATCCTTCAGCTCAAATGACCCAGTCACTGCCTGCACTATTTTCACGTTATGAGTTATACAGTTGTTTGAAGGTGTGGCCTGAAATGCCAGCCCAGGTACCAAAATTGCTAGTTATGGCTCTGCCCTGAAAATTTCTCTCTGGAAGCTTTAGGCCATACTTGTCCTAAATTATCATTTAGGACACTAAACTACCCTGAGAATATAAAACAATGATCTCTGTGAAGGAGCCAACTGAGATTTTCCCTCATGTGAAGAGGAAAATATATAAAATCCAATTTATATTTGTGTCTCTAACCCCACAAGATTCTAAGTACCCGTGTGAAGGCTGATGGGAGAAAAAAAAGCCACAACAAACTTTTCTTACCTCCTCTGGACGGCTGATCTCTATTCCTTCAGGACCTGTGATGCCCAAATCTAGTGCTTCTCTGGCACCCTGAACAAATAGCAAAGAAAAAAAGAAGTTGGCAATTGTTTATAAGATAGATCCAAGAGGAAAATAATGAACCTCAAATGGCAGAACTACACAAAAACTCAGCAGCTTTTTCTTTTTTCTGCATCATTTTTTCTTTAAAGAGAAAAGCTTTGGGGCTTAGGTTTGGCAATTTAGGTTTGGCTCACTTGGCAGTAAGTTTCCCCAAGTCACATTTTTAAATGACTGAATATGTCTTTTATTTTTCTAAATGTGTTCTAAGTAATCAGTAAGCAGGTGAAATAATAAATCAAGAATCTGGGATTTCATCAATATGAGTCTTCCTTTTATCTTGATACAACCTCTTTCAAGACTTGGTAAATGATCTTGGAAAATCATTGTGGCTGAAAAATTACTCACCCGCTGGCCAATCTGGTGTAAGCCTTTCTTTTTTTTTTTTTTAAAGGCAATTGGGGTTAAGTGACTTGCCCAGGGTCACACAGCTAGTAAATATCAAGTGTTTGGTCTGAGACCATCTTTGAACTCAGGTCTTCTGACTTCAGGGCTGGTGCTCTATCCACTGACCACCTAGCTGCCCCTGGTGTAAGTCTGAACCTACAATAAGGCTGATCCTTAGGGGATAAGCAAGACATAACCCAACACTAGGCTTATATTTGAAGTCTTTTCAATTAGGTAGGACCTGCCAGAGCTTGGAAGCATAGCCCAGGGTGAACCCAGAGTCACAGTACAGGCTACAATGAGGTACTGTAGACTTTAGTCTAAGAAATAATAAATAAGAGGGGTTAAATATCACACTATGATTTTAAATAGGCACCATGAGGGATACTTAAGAATTAGGAAAAAAAAGTCTTTATCCTTGAAGAGCTTACAACCTAGCTGGCAGCTGGAAGCAGAAGGCTCTAATTCAGATCCCCAGCTGAGAAGTCCAACTACCAGATCTACCTTCATTGCCCACTCCTTTCTGAATTTTGTGTCTATACTTGCCTCGGCCACAAGTTCTCCATTTTCAGCATGGACTCGGGCTATTGCACCAATATCCTTGCAAGCACAGAAGACTTGATATAATTCACTATCTCGAAGCATATATAAGTCTTTGTAGGTCATAAACATCTGGAATGAGTTGACACCCTTCTCTCTCACCAAAGTCTCCATTTCTGCTTTCACCTGATGGAAGAAAAGAATACCATTACATATTCAACATTATATATTTGAGAGATTGATGGATGGAGCCCTGAATGACCTGTATTTCATTCCCTTCCTCAGTGTGTACCAACTGTGTGATCTTTGATAAGTCACTTGAGGAGCCTGAGACACAGAAAAGCTACCTGGAGCAGGGAAATAATTCCCAAACTGCCTTCTGTGTGATGACCAAGCCAGAAAATGTAGAACACTCTCTGGAACCTATAATGTGTTGCTGTCATCTTCAACCTCATTATTAATGCCATTAATTATTAATAATATTGGGGATGGAGCTTTAACTGCGATAGATCTGCATCTCAGGTACTCAGGAGAGATTCTCTATCCAGGGAAGGGAATGACATGGAACAAGAATTTTTAAAGCACTTACTATGTGTAAAGCACTGTGCTAAGCACTCTACCTGCCTCATTTGAGTTTCACAGCAGCCCTGTGAGATAGGTTCTATTACTACCCCCATTTTACAGCTGAAGAAACAGGCAGATGGAGATTAAATGATACGGCTAGTAAGCTAGATTTGAACTCAGGTATTCCTGACTCCAAGTCTTATTCTCTATCCACTGTGGCACTTAGCTGTCTCTGGTCTACCTAGGACTGTCTGTGGATGCCCTAGCATTACAGGAATCTGTGGGAGAAAAATTAATATGCTTTTTTTTTTTTGCTTTCGTTTTGGATGGTAATTAACAGTCTTCTGTTATGTTTTCTTTACAAGTTCAACCAGCTTTTTGAGAAGTTTTGTATGGATGAATGCTAATATATCAATAACTCTTATATTATGTACCTGTTATGAGTATGGAAAAAGATATAAATAGTATGGATATTACACACCTACCATACTAGTGACTGTCCATTCATCTAGCAATGGTGGGAACATGGGAGATTGCCCATGCTCAATTTTTCCTATCTTAAGCAGACCTAGACAGCTTGACTTACTGTGACCTGAATCTAGGCAGCCTGTCTGATATCCTTAGGGGCTGTAGATCCTTAGGATAACACCCCAAGTACTTAATCCCTGTCTGGGAGCCCCACACCCTTTTGGGGCTTTGTTTTCCATTTAAATTATTAGCTTGCTTGTCTCAGTTGAGGAGTAAGAGCAGACCTCTGATTGGATTTCCTAGGTGTGGCAAATCCAAAGATCCCTGGAGACATTCAGGGGGCTTTATTGTGTTGCAGGGACTCAGGAGAATTTTTACTCCCCAGTATTAAATCCAATTTACAGTGTGGGTCCAGAACAGAGGGGCCCTTTAGTGTGAGAGGAAACAGGGAACTGCCGCAGCCTTTTTGACGTATTGGGTCAATGTTGCTGCAAAGCAATTTAGTTACTCATCCAAAGAGGTGCTGGAATGGCTTCCAGTCAACCCCACAACCTTCATCCCTTTTGGGAGCTCTGTAGAGACAGGCCATCCTTGGGGTGGGGGTGGGGGCAGTGGCTTGATTTTTTCCTCCTTTTTCTTTTCCTTACTGTCTTTGTCTTAGGGAAAACCTCTGCAAGCACCAAGACAGGCAGTAGAATTTTATAAAAATGATATCTGCTTGTTAAAATTGTGTAACTGAATTTGGAAGTGAGTGTAATTCCTAGACTCACCAGCAATGGTAGGCTTGTATCCTTGTGAAAAGAATATTAACTTCCAGTTTGTGAACTGTTCTGCAACAATTTTGCCAAAATGTAACTCAGTTGATTTTCTGGGGATGCTTAAGTGGAAGGAGAGTATAAGGGATATGTAATGACAAATGACAAGGTGTTAATTGCTCCTATGGTTTTCATATACAATGATCTCTTCATAAAATGGGAAGACCTGTCTCTAATAGAATTATAGGAACAGCTTGGGATTTCCTTGGATGAAAATTTGGCCATGCTGGCCTACCCCCAAACTGTTGAAAGAAAGAGGAAAAGGATTCCTCTGTACTCAAATTTTTATAGCAGGTCTTTTTATAGTAGCAAAGAACTGGAAACCAAGGGGGTGCCCTCCCCATTGTAGTCTGGCTGGGTATATGAATAAAATGGAATGCTATTGTGTTGAAAAGGACAGTTTCAGAGAAACCTGGGAAGACTTGTATGAACTGATGAAGAATGAAGTGAGCAGGGCCAGAAGAACAATGTATACAACAACAATACTGTAATGACAAATAATTCTGAAAGACTTAAGAATTCTAGTTAATTTAAGAACCCATCACAATTCCAGGAGAAGGCTAGTGATACATACTATCCACCTCCTGATGGAGAGCTTCCTGATGGACTAAAGATTTTTGGACATGGTCAACATGGGAATTTGACTATGCAAATTTGTTATCAGGCTTTGTTTTTCTTTTCTTTTTCCAGTGTGGGAGAAAAGAAAACAAGTGTCTTTTAGTTGAAAAGAAAAAAACAAGCAAACCTGTGGCCATGCCTCACAGCTCCTTAAAAGGCTAAGCAGTTATCTCTGTAATGAATTTTGTTAGTAGAGCTGGCAATGGAGGGAAAACTTGGCCCTGAGAAGGAACTTCTTAGGATAACAGAGGGGATATCCCTCTTCCCTCCCACCCAGTCAGCCAAATCACTTTGAAGAGAATCTATTCAATTGCTAGGAGACATTGCATCTATGACGGAGGATATCAACAAAAGACCAGGGCTCCAGGCACCATGCTGGAGAACCAAATCTCTACCAACCTTAGCGAAAAGGCCCATCCTCCTTCTCCCTCTCCTTCCCCCATCACCATGTCTTGGAGCTAATTTTTCTTTTGTTTTGTGTAGCTGGCTTATAAGATCAGGCACACAGAGATAATAAACACCCAGGAGAGCCACGGGCTAACATGTTGATGGCAATATACACTGGAAGACAACCACAGTCAAACTAGAGAAACTGTTACCTTTGGAGACCACCAGGTGATTCCCATGTGGAGTGAGTAGTCACAGCACACTTTGGGGTCAGCCAGGTTCCTGCACTTCTCATAGGCATCCAGGAGGGATGTTTCTTTGTCAGGTAGAACATGGCCTATGATCATAGTTGTTCCTCCTACCAGTGCAGCCTGTGGGAAGAAAGAAGAGAGACAAGCACGGCTTTAGTCACATCGTCATCGCACAATAACAAAGTGGAGGGGATGCAGCTAGGTGGTGCAGTGGATAGAGTACCGGCCCTGAAGTCAGGAGGACCTGAATTCAAATGTGGCCTCAGACACATAACACTCACCAGCTGTGTGACTCTGGGCAAGTCACTTAACCCCACTGCCTAACCAAAAACCAACCAAACAAAAAAACCCCCACAAAAACAAAATGGAGGTAATTTATTCCAGCACTTCTTATGCTGTAGGCTGCAACCCCATATGGGGTCGTGAAAAATTTGGCAACAGTAAAAGGTCTCTGAACAAACAAAATATCAGTATCTAATACTCTGCCAAGACTTAATTCTTTATGTATAAATAAATGAGCATATCCCTCTCATTAGCATGCAAATTTGCTTTCATCTTTAATAAATGGTAACATTATATATATACCAAAGAATCACTTTAAAATGAATTTCTTCATGATTTATTATCAATAAATGCTTGATATGTATACTTATCTCATATACCCCGGAGTTGCATAAAAATTTCTTGGGCAAAAAGGGGTCATGAGTGGAAAGAGTTTAAGAAGCCCTGACTTACTCTTAGCAGAGCAGAGAGCCATTTGATCTCTGCAAGCAGTTTCCTATTCAGCAAGAGGGTTTTCTTTTTGTTGTTGTTTTTTTTTTTTTTTGCAGGGAGGCAACACGGCACGATGGAAAGAATGTTACTATATATAGGGAAAAAAAGTTCTGTTTGGATATGGTAAAGCCAAAAATTTGCCTCCAACATTATTGGCCATGTCTGTGTTTTTAATTATTTTAAATTTCATTTCAATTTGATCGAAAAATTAGTATTCTAGTTGAATAGTCTATTTTAAGAATAGACTCAATTAATCCAAATCTAAAACTGAAAAATAGAATTCTACTTTTCTTAGAGACTGAAGTAAAACATGTAAGGCAGGGATGCCTAGAAGGGAAAAGTTCAAGTTTTAAAAGGTATATGATATCACCAAAAGGAATTGAGAAGAATAAAAAGGGAAGTGAATGAAAGATAAATATAATTGAAAATAAAATATAAAGGAATCTGGACTGGAATTGGGAGGGAAGAGACCAGGGTTCTTTACAATCTGACTAGGACCTATCTTTCCTGCCTTATACATCATTGCGCTTCCAAAACTGTATGGTCCAGCCAGATTGGCCTTCTCTCTGTTTATCATACACAATACTGTATCTCCCATCCCCACAGGCCTGACTACCTCCCTTTTCTCCTCCTCCCCACCTCCAATGCACCACCTTCTCACCAAGACTTCATGGGATTCTTGACTTCCTTCAAGATGAAACTCAAGCCAGGGCAGCGAGGTGGCACAGTGGATAGAGCACTGGCCCTGGATTCAGGAGGACCTGAGTTCAAATGCGGCCTCAGACACATAACACTTACTAGCTGTGTGACCCTGGGCAAGTCACTTAACCCCCATTGTCCAACCAAAAAAAAAAAGATGAAACTCAAGCATCATCTCTTACCCAAAGCCTTTCCTGATTCTCACAACTGTCAGTGCCCACGTTACCTTGTGTTTATTTTGTATTTGTTCAGCATGTCCTCATATATAGACAAATTATCTCCAGTGCCTAGCAGAGTGTTTGGCACAAGCATAATAAAGGCTCCTTGACTGACTGATCAGCTCTGCTCCTATAACTTTGCGATCTTGGCCTTATCATCCTCATCTATGAAATGAATTGTTTAGATCTAATGATATCCAAAGTAGCTCTAACATTCTGGAAAGTCATATTTGCCCTAATTTCTTATAAACATAATCTGGCAAAAGATCAACTGAAAATAAATAAGATAGAATGAATATATGTTTACATGCAAGGCTAGACATTTAGACATAGGCATTTAAAGCTCAGACAAATTCCTTGGCATCAAGAAGCTAAGAAGAAAATCAAGATAAGCAGGTAGACTTTGGGTAAACTGATGAAGTTGATATATGTCTTCGGAATCACCAAGAGTTCTAAGAGTCTGATCTGTTTAAGATGTGGAACTTCAAGTCACAACCCAGCAGGGTCTTCCAAAGTTCTTCATTCTAATGAGAAGATGCCAGTGTTCTAATAGTGAGTGGGGGGAAAGAAGAGGAACAGAAAGAAAAACTCCTGCTATTTGAAGATCCTAATAAATATGTCATGGAGAGTAGGTAGCTAGGTGGCACAGTGGATAGCACAATGGCCCTGAAGTCAGGAGGACCTGAGTTCAAATCTGGCCTCAGATACATATATTCACTAGCTGTATGACCCTGGGCAAGTCACTTAACCCTGAATGCCTCAAAAAAAAATATGGAAAAAACTCTAAGACATAATAGTTACCTAGAGTCTTAGAATATCAGAACTGGGAGAAACCTTTGAGTTCCTTTAGTCTAGTCCCTGATTTTACAGATGAAACTGAGGTCCAGAGATGTTAAGTATATATCTGAAGTTATATTCAGTAAGCATTTATTTTTATTTGTGAGGCAACTGGGGTTAAGTGACTTGCCCAGGGTCACACAGCCAATGAGTGTTATGTGTCTGAGGCTGGATTTGAACTCAGGTCCTCCTGACTCCAGGGCCAGTGTGCTATCTCCACTGCACCACCTAGCTGCCCCTCAGTAAGTGTTTATTAAGAACTTAGTACATGCCCACCTGCCTTGACTCTCAGTATAGAATTTTCCCAATACACCATGATCTCTCACTTGTACTCCTGCAGTCCTGAAGAAGGCTGGCTGTATGGACTGCCATGGGGCTGGCTAACAATTAATGGGGTATGGCCTCAGAAGTACCTGCATCTATAGAAACAAAGAGGACCTTTGCATTCCTATGCTGTCAAGATTCAGGGAAGGATTTTTCTTAACTGAGGAGCAAGATGGAGCAGGAGATGGGGTCAGCTTGGAGTCAGGGAAACCTAAACTTGAATACTGCCTCAGACATTTGCTGGCCAATCACTTCACTTTTCTCTGCCTCAGTTTCTTCATCTGTAGAATGAGGGAGTTGGCCTCAATAGCTCCTGAGGTCCCTCCTAGCCCTAAATCTATGATTCTAGGATGCTACCCCTGCCCTTCTGGGCATCTTAGGCTAGCCTATAAATCTCATGAAGGACTGAGTTGCTAATAGTCTTCTTTTGTGCTTTATCAACCTCCTCTTTCTTTACCTGGTCTGCACAGGTGTGTCCTCCTTTCATCCCAATCAAACATGAGAGGTTCTGAAAGGATTATTTTAGTTGTAACACAAAGTTGGAACATTTTTAAATTAAAAAGAATTCTTTTTTGGCTGGCATATTACTGCTAGGCCGGAAAACAACTCTCAGAAATAACTAGAAGGTCATCTGCTTCTATGTGTCACCTATCTTGGAAAGCAGTCATCTTTCTTGCACAAAAGGGAATTTAGCCTTTGATTGAAGAATTACTTTGAAGGGGAACAGGCAGTGAGAGCAGCCAGGTATGAAATGGGATTATATTTGTTCCAGCACTGCTCCTGACCTTAGCAGAACCTCAAAACCTTTATCTAGAAGGGTCCTTCTCAGTTCTAGGTCAGTTTTAATTATTTCGAGAGGAGTCGTGAAATTCTATTTTAAAAATTCACAAAGGGGCAGCTAGGTGGCGCAGTAGATAGAGTTCTGCCCTTGGAGTCAGGAGGACCTGAGTTCAAATGCGACCTCAGACACTTGACATTTACTAGCTGTGTGACCCTGGGCAAGTCATTTAACCCCACTGCCTTAAAAAAAAAAGCACACAATATTACAATTGGAAGGGACCTATAGAGGTCCACCTCCTACTTGATGCAAGAGTCTTTCCCACATCTTCCTAACAGATAATTTGTTGTTCCCTGATTGAATGCTTCCAATGAAAGGGAGCTTACCACTTTAAAACCTAGTCTTCTCCACTGATGGACAGCTCTAATTGTTAGAAAGCTCTTTCTTACATTGAACTATTTCTCCTTGTTACTTTCACCTACTGGTCTTCAATATGGCATATGCTAAGTCTAGTGCCTATTCCAGATGACAGTCCTTTAAATACTGGAAGGCAGTCAAACTTATTTAGGTCTTTTCTTTTCTAGACTAAACATTTTAAAATGTCTCAAACATTCTACATGTTTATAATTTCTTGAACCTTTACCATCTTGATCACATTCTCCTGGACATAGGTAGCTAGGAGGTACAGAAAAGAGAGCATGGGATCTGAGTTCAAATCCGACTTCAGACACCAACTAGCCATATGACCTTGGACAAGACACTTAACCTCTGTCTGCCTTTCCCCCCCCCATTTGAAAAATAGAGATAATAATAGCACCTATCTCCCAAGGTATTGTGAGGATCAATAAGATAATATTTGTAAAGCACTATTAGAAATGCTAAATATTATTATTATTAAAAAAAACTATTAAAAATGAGTGGTTAAACTCCTTTTTCCATTGTAGAGGTGGAGGATTATGGGACATATGTCAGACAGATGATGTGTTAGTTTTGCTGAACTATTTCTTTTCTTCTTTTTTCATTCTTTATTATAAGGATGGTTCTGTGAGGAGGATATATTTGGAAATGAAGGGGATGCAAAAGAAAGATTAATAAAATATTTTAAAAGTGGTGCTTAGAACAGAATACAATAGTCCAGATATGGTCTGATCAGCATAAAGTACCCTTTAGTAGCAGGCTATTAAAGTAGGAGGCTATTACCCTCCTTGATCTGAAAACCATATTTCTATTAATCCAATTTGAGACTGCATTAATAATGGTATTTTAAAATGTTTTTAGCATTTAGTCACAAAATTGGCTTATACTGAGCTTACTATCATATAGCAAGCTTTTTTTACATAAGTCGATGACAAATCAGGTCTTCTCCATCCTATAATGAGGGGTGTGGTGTAGAAAGAACACTGGAGATGGGTTTGAACCCTGTTTCTGATCCTTAGTAACTTAACTATATGATGTTGGGCTTCTTGAGTCCTCCTCAGTTTCCTCATCTG